TGTTAATTCGATTAGATCTATTTCGGCTGTGCTGGTCAAACTCTCTGCCTCCGGGCAGAGAGGATCCCCAGACGAGGTCGAAGGGCAGAGTCTCGTCTCGGGAAACAGTTACCCGACCCTGTTTTATACGGGGTCTATGGAGAATTCTTGGTAGAGCCTACGGTCTCGGATTGGCCCACATTAAACTCGGCTTTATGTCACGTCCTACCGTGTGGGGAATCTGGTAACAGTCGAATAGATTGAACGCTGAGTCAACTTACACACACTCACTAGTCATGTAATACTCTTCTGTTGTACTTACTGTTTAATATATGATAAATCTGCAACACTTGTTTTGCTATTTCTTTTATCATTTACTTGGTCACAATAGATATATTCGTGATTTTAAAAATATCCTACAACAGGAAAATGGAATCAGTATTAATGCTATTAGAATATGAGATACTTAACCAAACTACTATCCCTTTCACTTTGTGAAGCAGTTCGTAAAGTCTCCCTTCGAGATTGTCATCTGCATCGTCACGTTCTCCTTAAGCTCGTCCACGACTTATCGGTGATTTTAAATTTTTGTTGATGGGGGGGGGTCAGAAATCGTAGGAGGTCAAAGTTTAGCTTCTGTTTTTCTTTTCTTTTTTTTTTTTTTTTTTTTGAAGGTAATTTGCTAACATGCCTGGATGACACGATGTTTTGCCATTAAAAACCCAATCGATCAGACACGGTGAACGAAACGGCGTCACATTAAAAAAAAAAAAAGCTTACGTCTAAACACCGACCGACTAACCCAATTCTTGTACACACACGCATACCTACGCCTTCACAGCTAAATGCGACTATCATTTTATATACAAAGCTCTGCCCAGTAGGTGTCTACCGGTCCTTTTAATTCGTCTCGTGTATGACGGTAAACTGTATCCAGCAAGCACGGCCAATGATCGGGAGATTAATCGGTTTTGAGGAACGACCTCTTAATTGCTGTTATTGCCAGGTCCAAACTGATCCGGGGTGGGGGGTAGCACCTGTTAAGGTCCCAGCGAATGGCAAATAGTGAACCTCCAAACAAAAACAAAACTCTATGCAAATATATAAATACAATTTTATAATAAAAATATCAGTTATACACCAAAATAGATTTATAGTAAAATGACCACAAATACTTATTTATAGCAAAATGACCAACAATGCATTTTTATAGCAAAATGACCAACAATACATTTTTATAGTGAAATGACCACAAATACATTTTTATAGTGAAATGACCAACAATACATTTTTATAGTAAAATGATCACAAATACATTTTTATAGTGAAATGACCAACAATACATTTTTATAGTGAAATGACCAACAATACATTTTTATAGTGAAATGAGCAACAATACATTTTTATAGTGAAATAACCACAAATACATTTTTATAGTAAAATGACCACAAATACATTTTTATAGCAAAATGACCAACAATACATTTTTATAGTGAAATAACCACAAATACATTTTTATAGTAAAATGACCAACAATACATTTTTATAGTGAAATGAACAACAATACATTTTTATAGTGAAATGACCAAAAATACATTTTTATAGTGAAATAACCACAAATACATTTTTATAGCAAAATGACCACAAATACATTTTTATAGTAAAATGACCAACAATACATTTTTATAGTGAAATGACCAACAATACATTTTTGTAGTGAAATGACCAACAATACATTTTTATAGTAAAATGACCACAAATACATTTTTATAGCAAAATGACCACAAATACATTTTTATAGTAAAATGACCAAGAATACATTTTATAACAAATTGATCTCCAATACATTTTACTGTAAAATGACCAACAATATATTTTATAGCAAAATGACCAACAATATATTTTTATAGCAAAATGACCAACAATGCATTTTTATAGTAAATTGACCAACAATAGATTTTTATAGTAAAATGACCAACAATACATTTTTATAGTAAAATGACCAAGAATATATTTTTATTGTAAAATGACCAACAATACATTTATAACAAAATGTCCAACAATACATTTTATAGCAAAATGACCAACAATACATTTTATAACAAAATGTTCAACAATACATTTCATAGCAAAATGACCAACAATACATTTTATAACAAAATAACCTACAATATATTTCATAGTGAAATGATCAACAATACATCTTATAGCAAAATGACCAATACATATTTATAGCGAAAGATGGGCACCCCAGCGTAGTGTAATGGTTAGCATGCTTCTCTCGCTCAAACTGTTACGACTGAATAGTGAGTTTGATCCTCGCTGGGTGCTCCACACTTTCAGCCTTGTGCCACATCTAAGCTACACTTAGAAAATCATGACACTTCGACATGGTGTAATGGTAAGCAAGCATGTCTCTCTAGAACCATTACAATTGAGTAGTGAGATCAATGCTTTCGGCCTTGTGCCACATCTAAGCTGGGTCCTCGGCGTGACGTAATGGTTAGCAAGCTTGTCTCGCTAGATCAGTTACGACTGAAAAGTGAATTTGATCCTCACTAGGTGCCCCACACTTTCGGCCTTGTGCCACATCTAAGCTACGCTTAGAAAATAAGTAGTTATAGTAAAAATGACCACAAATACATATTTATAGTGAAAAGGCCACTAATACCTATTTACAGTAAAAATGACCAATACATGCTTGTAGTAAATAGGCTACCAATACATTTTTTATAGTAAAATGACCAACAATACATTTTACACCAATGACATAATTTTACCAGGAAAGTATAAAATTATGTGCAAAATATCTGTAGTTGAACCCATGAAATTTCGTCATGTCGATTTTGGCATTAAATAACCCATAGAGGTGTTGATATGCCGCTAAACAATATCGACCAACGAACAATACAATTTATAGCAAAATTACCAAGAATATATTTGATCTATAGTTGACAGCGTACAATTGCGTTCAAAATATATTTCGTTGAAGCCATAAAATTGTGGTCAGCATATGTCGATTTCGGCATTAAATAACCCATGGAGGTGTTGATATGCCGCTAAACAATATCAACCAACGCATAATACAATTTAAAGCAAAATGACCAACAATATTCGATGTTCGTTTGCTCGGTTTGGTCTTTATTTACATTATTTAGACGCAGACAATTATCCTCATGTTTGTTATTAACATCACAACGTTTCGACCTTTTTGCCTTCATCAGATGCTTGCTGATCTGGATAACCTTCAGATAAGGAACCCTTCATTTAATCTCCGGGAACAGATTGCTCTCGTTCCGTCGACATTGAGGATATTTCGTCTAGTACTGCTTAGTTATTGCTCGCCCCGTTTCGACTGAGTCCAAAGATATACTGACCGGCAAAGGGATTCAAATCATAAATTCAAGTACCAATGCTTTTATCCACTAGGCTATTTTCATGCGGGACAATCCAAAGTGAATTGTTACAATAAAGAGGAGAACAACAGTTCATAAGTAAATAATGATAACTCCTCATCGCAAAAATCAAAACTGAATACATTCAAGATATTATTGCATGTATTTGAAGAGACTCTCCAGTAGGTTTACTCAATCGAGAGTGATATGACACTAAGTGAGCTTGTGTACTGTGTAACTGTTGCATTAACGAACGAATATTTTTAATCGTCAGGTATTATGATTACTTGCATTATTTACGTTATTCGAACTGTTATCCTCCTCTTCATTGAAATATTCACAACGTTTTGGCCTCTATATCTCTGAGATGAGGTATTATGATTACTTGCATTATTTACGTTATTCGAACTGTTATCCTCCTCTTCATTGAAATATTCACAACGTTTCGGCCTCTATATCTCTGAGATGAGGTATTATGATTACTTGCATTATTTCCGTTATTCGAACTGTTATCCTCATCTTCATTGCCATATTCACAACGTTTCGGCCTCTATATCTCTGAGATGAGGTATTATGATTAATTGTATTATTTACATTATTCGAACTGTTATCCTCATCTTCATTGCCATATTCACGACGTTTCGGCCTCTATATCTCTGAGATGAGGTATTATAATTACTTGCTCGGCAGAACTGTTTTCATGAAAATATTTGTGGAAAAGACAGAGTGAAGCTACGTTACATCGGCGAGAACGTGACTCAAGTCGAGACATCTGAGAGAAACGGAAGCCATATTGTTTATCCGGAAGGAGGATGCGGGAAGTAAGATGCTTAACCTATTCTGAGTTGATTAGAGCTTGTAATCTATTGCCAATTATTTTGTAAATTATGTTTGATTTTTAGTTATAGAAACATAGAAACAGTCTCACACATAGAATTCTACAAACTTTGACGAACTTAAAATAAGCTAAAAAAATTTGAAATAATTAATTGTATACTGTATTTAATCTGTCACCCCACTCCACAGGACGAGATGTGACACAAGGTTTATTTTTAGGTGGGAACCTGAGCTCGTACGCCCGGGACAGGTGTAAAAAATTCCCTTAGCTCCTTTTTTGTCAGTTGCGCTGGCCTCGGTACGAGCACTGATGCCTTCCCTCTGGTGCAATGGGAGGGCGCGGTGTCGGGCAGCTGTGCCCCAGGGTTGGGCTCCTCTTCAGTATTATTTTCCTCAGTTTCCCCTCTGTCCTTTGTCAGGTTTTTTGAACACACTCTGCCTAAGGACAGAGACGCAACTGAGAGATGATAACTAGATGTGAAATCACTCCAAAAGAGTAAGTTGCCCACTAATCAATTGCATACGTGCCAGTATTTACATCGGATATAGCATTTGCATACCATAGTCACGTGCAAAATTTTAATTAAATGAATATTCAAATAATCACTATGCAAATACGATAATAAAAAAATGTCATTGGACATTTTTATCCGATATTTGCAATTAGTGATATTGTCTTTTGGTTTTTTGGCATGGATATAAAATAAAAACAAATATTTGATTTAGTGTAGACATACACAAGGCGATATTAATATGATAAACTTTATATAATAACAGCTCATTGTGCCAATGATATATTTTTTACACGAAACTCCTTTCCGTTTTTTTTTGTTTTGTTTTTTGCTTCCCTGCCACTGATAATCTTCAAAATTTTAACTTTTAAAATTGTTTTATTTTTTTTCTGTAGTGTTTACCTTGTACAAGGCCCGGGAGCCACTCAAGGTAGAGGGTTACAGAGTAAGAGATAAAGCTGATGCGGATATGTGTGGAAGATAAAAGTTAACCAAACTCTCTTCCGTTTTTTTTTTTTTTTTTTTTTTGCTTCCCTGCTACTGATAATCTTCAAAATTTTAACTTTTAAAATTGTTTTATTATTTTTTTTTTTTTTTTTGTGGTGCTTATCTTGTACAAGGCCCGGGAGCCACTCAGGGTAGAGGGTTACAGAGTAAAAGATATAGTTGATGGGGATATGTGCGGAAGATAAAGGTTAACCACAGACTTGAATAGGTTAAGATTGTAGTGATCAGGGAAGCAGTCTCTTGGGGGTCGATTCGATAAGGCAACGGTTCGTGGGAAGGATCTGCTTGAGTGGAACTTACATCTCACGGGGGGGGGTATGAAGAGAATGAAGGTGGTTCGCTACAATATGCGTAGTATGGCAGTCCTTAGCCGTGATGGTTAGAACTAGTAGAGCTAAAGACATGCAAGGGACAGGAAATTGTGGAGAGCCATGATCGCAAACGTCTTGGCACATAGAAGAAGAAGAATGAGATTGTGTAAATGAATGGTGGAACAAGGTTTAGGAGAGAGAATAAAATGGAAAAAAAAATTAAAATCTACAAATACAGGAAATTGTGGAGAGCCATGATCGCTGACAGGCCTGAAGGCTCATTACATTAAAGCTCATTATTAAGGTCTTAGACGTAAAGGTTAGGACTTCTGGAACCTAAAGATTGTAGTTCATCTGAACATTCACCATGGAAATAGCGATAGAACAGCGAGAGGCTTTCAAAATCTCGTCTGTGAGAATTTTTGTTTTGTTTTGTTTCTTTTTACAGTAAGTTTCACTCTGTACAAGGCCCGAGGGCCAGTCGAGGTAGAGGGTTACGTTAAGGGGTAGTTTATATCGATAGGAGTGAAAGATAACGGTTGACACTTGATAAGATTGTAGTGATCAGAGAAGCAGCCTCTTGGGGGAACTAAAGATGGATAAATTGTCATCTGAACATTCACCATGGAAATAGCGATAGAACCGCGAGGTGCTTGCGACGTCTCGACTGAGGAAGGGGTTGCAGAGTGGAAAGTAATTCGTCTCCTCCAAGGACTCAGAGACACTTTTAGACGTTATCGAGGTGGGGAAAGTGAATACTTGGCAGCTCCCGCCCATATATGGCAGCAGCCAGAGAAGACGAGAAGAGGGTCTGGCCGGTACTTTGTTCCGAGACCCAAGAGCTAAGAAGGCCTTGATAGCAACTATACAAAATTTTCCATTTTTGTGTAATTTAGGCGACAATTTATCCATCGCACCCTGTATATTTGTTAAAATGAGATGTCAGTGTTATTTTCATTTTGGCGTCATTTAGACGACAATTTATCCATCGCACCCTGTATATCTGTTAAAATGAGACTGTTGGCAATGTGAACAATAAAGATATTAGTCAGTGTTATTTTTTTTTTTTTTTTTTTTTTTTTGCGTAATTTAGACGACAATTTATCCATCGCACCCTGTATATCTGTTAAAATGAGATCAGTGTTATTTTCATTTTGGCGTCATTTAGACGACAATTTATCCATCGCACCCTGTATATCTGTGAAAATGAGATGTCAGTGTTATTTTCATTTTGGCGTCATTTAGACGACAATTTATCCATCGCACCCTGTATATCTGTGAAAATGAGGTCAGTGTTATTTTCATTTTTTTTTTTTTTGTGCGTAATTTATGCGACAATTTATCCATCGCACGCTGTATATCTGTTAAAATGATATGTAAGTGTCATTTTCATTTTGGCGTCATTTAGACGACAATTTATCCATCGCACCCTGTATATCTGTTAAAATGAGATGTCAGTGTTATTTTCATTTTGGCGTCATTTAGGCGACAATTTATCCATCGCATGCTGTACATCTGTTAAAATGAGATGTCAGTGTCGTTTTCATTTTTGCATAATTTAGACGACAATTTATCTATCATACTTCGTATTTTTGCGGCCGCATCACCCCTAACATCTAGCCAACTAGGTCCCCAGACTGCAAACCCTCTTGATTATTATGTGTGGCTCACATTTGAGCCAGAGACCAACAAAACCCCTTGTTACACCAACGACGAACTGAAGGCAGGGATTATGGCAGCATTCACCAACTTAAACAAGGAGACTGTCCAGAAGAGTTGCAGGAGATTCCGAAGTTGTCTGGAGGCCGTCGTTGAAGCCAATGGCAATTTTATGGAATCAATATATTCTTTAGTATTTCAAGATATTTTTATGTAATTTTGGTAAATATATCTCGTAAAATGTTATGCCAGTGTTATTTTCATTTTTGCGTCATTTAGACGACAATTTATCAATCGCCCTCTTTGTGTGTGTGTGTGTGTGTGTGTGTGTATATATATATATATGTGTGTGTGAAAAGTGTATATAAATATAAATAAATATATATATGTATAATTATTTATATATTATATGCGCGGTACTTATTGGAAAGCGCTCAATATCAGAGATAGAGCTAACATATTTGGTTGGATAGATGTGAGTTTTTGACCCTGGGTTTTCAGGGTTTAGCGATCGTCAGACAAACTGACGATCGCTAAAAAGCGTGAAACCTAGGGTCACAAACTCGCATCTATCCAACCAAAATATATATATATATATATATATATATATATATATATATATATATATATATATATGTGTGTATAAATTAAAATAATAAAAAAAGAAAGGTAGGATTTATAATCCGGTATCCTTAGTAATTATTTTATAAACCGTAGAGCAAAATATTAAAATTATTTTTCTTTTAATGATACCAATATTCCTTAGAAATTTATTCCTAACATCGCTTGACAATGGAACGAGACTATGGATTTTAAATTTCATTTTTATAATTAAATTTAAGTTTCAGTTTTGAAACTTGAAATTTTATGTGTCGCGATGGAATCATATTTTAAAAAAAAAAAAATATATATATATATATATATATATATATATATATATATATATATATATATAAGGTTAATGGTCAGAGTTGAATCGGACCAGGAAACAGTAGTATTAAAAAGTGCTGGATAGACGTGCAAAAAAATAAAACAAAAAAGTAAAAATAACGTGTAGAGCTGTCAACTTTAAAAATCAGGAGATCAGTTGAATACGCTACCTTGGTTTCAACCTGACGGTACCCTCAGGCGATTTTTATCAAATGACCTTTTAACGCTTTATTTTTTTTTTAAACTAATGAACGTTATATTATTTTTTAAAAAAAATAAATAAACAAACGAACGACGTTAATAGAAAGGGAGTAGGTGGATGTGAAGAGGAAGAAGGTGGAAGAAGAAGAAGAAGAAGAAGAAGAAGAATAAAATAAATGTGTGAAAATGTGTGTGTGTGTGTGTGTGTGTGTGTGTGTGTGTGTGTGTGTGTGGCGGGTTTAACAGTAAAATTGTCCAAATCGTGTAACAGCATGGGATAATTGTCTGTTCCACAAAATGGTTAATATGTAAAAAAAACCCACTAAACTAATTGAGTTTCTGTTTCTTACAGATTTTTTTCAGATAAGACGGTTAGCCATCTTGAAACCATTTGTCGTAAGAATCACTGAAAAATCCTTTGAGTTATTCAGCTAAAAAGAGAACAGGTTAAAATCGTTTTGTGTCAGCCATACAATGTCTTCCCAACTGAGCAATGGCAAGAGGTAAAAGATTATTCACGCCTTCAGTAATGGTACCAGCATTCATACTCTGGCTTCCATCTTCAACATCCATTCAAGAACATACAAGAGAACGGCGATTAGGTATAAAAAAGAGCAAACAGTCGAGAGGAAAACTGGATTAGGAGTTCACCACAGGAAAAGGGATCATTATTTCAACTTAGAGCTGAATAAATTCTTATTGTTTGAAGTAGGGTCCACATCTTTGTTAAAAGTTATAAAAGTAAGATATCTTTAATCATTTCTAAGATACAACGGTTCAAAACTTAATCTAACAATTGAATAATTTTGCTGTTACACGATTTGGACAATTTTACTGTTACATGATTTGGACAATTTACACACACACACACACACACACACTCTCTCTCTCTCCTCTCTCTATATATATATATATATATATATATATATATATATATATCAATCTTTTATATCTATATTTCTATCTATCATTTTTTCATATCTACATCTATCTATCTTTAAAAATCCATCTAAAATAGTTTTCATATTATCTCATTCTTTCATATCTATTTAGTCTATCTTTTATCTATCTATCTTCAAATTTATATCTATATTTTCTATCTATTTATTTTCATATTTACAATTTATCTTAGTCTTTTCATATCTATCTATCTATCTATCTATCTATCTATCTATCTATCTCAGTCGGCTCACATCTGTCTTTCTATCTTTCTATCTATCTACTTCAATACTTTCATCAATCTATCTATATATCTATTTATTTCAGTCACTTTTTTGAAACTTTCTGTCTGAAGGACTGTGAACACGGTCTCAAATGTTGATAATGATATTTTTATGTTAGACTAATGTTGACCCAATACAAGCCCCAAAAGCCACTCAAGCTAGAGGGTTACCGTGATTTGATGTATCAGCGCCAGAAAAGGGCAGATGTTAATCCTAGACTTGAAGAAGTCAAAATTGTAGTGGCCAGGGAAACATTCTGTCGGGAGTCTGTTCGACAGTGTAGCAGTTCTTGGGAAGAAGCAGTCTGAGTAGAACTTACTTCTTACTTACTAATAGAATACGAAGAGAATTTAGGATTATTCATCCTTGCTTCCCTGCAGGTCCCCGCTGCAATGGCACTTTGTGTGATGTTGATTTTTAATATACTGTGATTTCGCTGACAATAGGTTTCTTAAAATCTCGAAATATTTCGCCGACATATCCGTATCTAACTCTCTCTCTCACTCTCCCTGTTCGTTATTTATTAGTCCTTTTAAATCTATCTATCTATCTATTATCTATCTATTTATCTATCTATCTTATCTATCATTAATATGTTATAATATCTATTTATCTATCTATCTATCTATCTCATAGATTTAATTATCTATCTATTCTATCTATTCATCTATCTATATATCTATCTCAGTCTGTTCATTATCTATCTATCTATCTAAATATCTATCTATCTATCTATCTATCTATCTCATCTGTTCATTATATCTATCTATCTATCTATCTATCTATCTATCTATCTATCTATCTATCTCAGTCTTTTCATATTTATCTATCACATTCTATCCATATATATCTATCTATCTCAGTCTTTTATTTAATCTATTTTTATCATATCATCTATCCTTTTTTATCTATCTATCTATCTATCTAGTCTTTTTTATTTATTATATTCTATCTATCTCATGTTTTCATATCTATCTAATCTATTTAAATATCTATTTATATGTATATATCTATCTATCTATCTATCTATCTCATCTTTTTCATCTATCTATCTATCTATCTACATTATCTATCTATCTATATCTATCTATCTATCTCACGTTTTCATTTCTATCTATCTATCTCTGTTTCTATCTATCTATCTATATGTTTTTTATATCTATTTCAATCTATTATATTATATATCTATCTATCTATCGCAATCTTTTCTTATCTATCTCAATTTTTTCATATTTATCTATCTATTTATCTATCTATCGCAGTCTTTTCATATATATCCCAATCTGTTCATATCTATCTATCTATCTATCTATCTATCTATCTATCTATCTATCTATCTATCTATCTATCTATCTATCTATCTCAATCTGTTCATGTCTATCTATCTAGTGCAGTCTTTTCTTATTTAACTTATTTAACTTTTTCATATCTATTTTTCCATCTGTCTATCGCAGTCTTTTATATCTATCTATCTATCTATCTATCTCAATCTTTTCATATCTAAATTTCTATCTTAGTCTTTTCATATCTATCTCAGTCTTTTCATATATATCTATCTATCTATCTATCTATCTCTTCTTAATACAAACATATATATAACTATGTTATATTTCATCCTCATAATTTCATCATACATTACCAGTTCACTGCTAAACCAAGGCATTTCTCATATCCTCCCATGACGACAGTGACTGTGCTATTTTCTACCCTGCCTTCGCCTCATATCTATATCACGAGCAGAAAGAGGAAACAGAAAATATCATTCAGGGTCTAATATATTTATAATCTATCTCAACTATCCCTCTTCTCTTTGTTTTTTTTTTTTTATAACTACGTTTTTCTAAACATTGGCAACCAATCGAGCGACCTATTGCTCCTTCTGTTATCGTTTCTTCTTACCTACCTCCATTTTTGTCGTTTATCTATTCTTTGATTCATGTTAAACATTTTATGTCTCTTGAAGAATCGATCTTTCAATTGATCGCTGTACGTTTCTGGGTTTTTTTAAGCGTTTTTTTTTCTTTTGACATTAGATATTTCTGTGTTTCGCGTCGTAGTCATATCTTGCTTGAAACATTTATTATATTTTGTTATACTACTGTTCAACTAATACAAGACCCAAGAGCCACTCCTGGTAGAGTGCTACTCTGTTGTGTTGTATGAGCGTAAGAAAATGGCAAGAAGTGAAGTTGACGGGGCTTTGCAAGAAAGATAAGGATTAACCGTAGACCGGAAGAGGTCAAGATTATAGCGAAGAGAATTTAAGATTAATTATTCTTCTGTATGTGGCATGGCAGTTCTCCGCTGTAGAGGCATTTCGTGTTGTTGGATTTTAATACACTGCGATTTTGCGGACAATGAGGCAATCCAGTTTTTTGTAATTCTCATTTCTTGTTATAATTAATAGGTCAGAATTTAAGTCTTTTAATTTTGTTTTAATGTTTTTTTTTTAAATTAAATTTATTTATTTGAGATTTAAATGGATCTTTGGCGTGTCGTGTCCGCTACACATGGCTAATTCTTTAAATTATTTTTGCTGTTAAGAGTTCTACATTCTTCAGAAAATTTTAACTCTTCACAAAAAAAAAAAAATAATAGAAAACTTATTTTTCCTCTTAGACTTTCGAAGAACATTAACGGAGTTTAGCATTTATTTAAAATTATTATTGATTATTATTTGCGATTGCTTGGCTAGGCAGTCAGAAAAAGGAGGAAATATTTTGCTAGTGCACAGGTTATATTTTCTGTGTAAGTAAGCTAGGATTTGTATCTATTCAATTAACTCTATTGTCATATGCAAGAAAGAATTCTGATTTTTAAATCATTAACAGTAAAAATATCCAAAGAGAAGAGTCGGGGAGACTTTATTCGAACGGGCTTTCAAATAGCAAAATATGTCTTCCAAAAACTAAGCAAAGTACTGAAAACAGGAATATAGGCGTCCTGGGTAAGACGATAAACTACATCCGACAGCAAGACCTTTGATCAGGAGGTTTTGAAGTGTGGAAGATATTGGAAGACCACCTCTTAATTCGGGTGTTCCCAATTTCTTTTTCTCGAAAACTTTCGTCTGTCATTAATATGCATGTTTGAGTCCATGGTTCTTAACATCATTTTGCAGAATCACATTTCTTTTGTTTCAAGTCTCTTCTTCATCTGTGAGGAGATTGTCCAGCATTCACTGCCATTTAGGAGGACTGATATTACGTAACAGTTCAGTACTCTTTTCTTTGTTTCTATTGTTTCAAGTCTCTTCTTCATCTGAGGAGATTGTCCAGTATTCACTGCCATATAGGAGGACTGATATTACGTAACAGTTCAGTACTCTTTTCTTTGTTTCTGTTGTTTCAAGTCTCTTCTTCATCTGTGAGGAGATTGTCCAGCATTCACTGCCATATAGGAGGACTGATATTACGTAACAGTTCAGTACTCTTTTCTTTGTTTCTCTTGTTTCAAGTCTCATCTTCATCTGTGAAGAGATTTTCCAGCATTCACTGCCATATAGGAGGACTGATATTACGTAACAGTTCAGTACTCTTTTCTATGTTTCTATTGTTTCAAGTCTCTTCTTCATCTGTGAGGAGATTGTCCAGCATTCACTGCCATATAGGAGGACTAATATTACGTAACAGTTCAGTACTCTTTTTCTTTGTTTCTCTTGTTTCAAGTCTCTTCTTCATCTGTGAGGAGATTGTCCAGTATTCACTGCCATATAGGAGGACTGATATTACGCAACAGTTCAGTATTTTTTCCTTTGTTTCTATTGTTTCAAGTCTCTTCTTCATCTGTGAGTTGTTGTCCAGTATTCACTGCCATATAGGAGGACTGATATTACGTAACAGTTCAGTACTCTTTTTCTTTGTTTCTATTGTTTCAAGTCTCTTCTTCATCTGTGAGGAATTTGTCCAGCATTCACTGCCATATAGGAGGACTGATATTACGTAACAGTTCAGTACTCTTTTCTTTGTTTCTCTTGTTTCAAGTCTCTTCTTCATCTGTGAGGAGATTGTCCAGCATTCACTGCCATATAGGAGGACTGATATTACGTAACAGTTCAGTACTCTTTTCTTTGTTTCTCTTGTTTCAAGTCTCTTCTTCATCTGTGTGGAGATCCAGCTGCCATATAGGAGGACTGATATTACGTAACAGTTCAGTACTCTTTCCTTTGTTTCTCTTGTTTCAAGTCTCATTCATCTGTGAGGAGATTGTCCAGCATTCACTGCCATATAGGAGGACTGATATTACGTAACAGTTCAGTACTCTTTTCTTTTGTTTCTATTGTTTCAAGTCTCTTCTTCATCTGTGAGGAGATTGTCCAGTATTCACTGCCATAGAGGAGGACTGATATTACGTAACAGTTCAGTACTTTTCTTTGTTTTATTGTTTCAAGTCTCTTTCTTCATTGTGAGGAGATTGTCCAGCATTCACTGCCATATAGGAGGACTTGTAACAGTTCAGTACTCTTTTTCTTGTTTCTCTTGTTTCAAGTCTCTTCTTCATCTGTGAGGAGATTGTCCAAATTCACTGCCATATGGGAGGACTGATATTACGTAACAGTTCAATACACTTTTGTTTTGTTTCTCTTGTTTCAAGTCTCTTCTTCATTGAGGAGATTGTCCAGTAACTGCCATATAGGAGGACTGATATTACGTAACAGTTCATACTCTTTCTTTGTTTTCTTGTTTCAAGTCTCTTCTTCATCTGTGAGGAGATTGTCCAGCATTCACTGCCATATAGGAGGACTGATATTAAGTAACAGTTCAGTACTCTTTCCTTTGTTTCTCTTGTTTCAAGTCTCTTCTTCATTTGTGATGAGATTGTCCAGCATTCACTGACAAATATGAGGACTGATATTTTTATAAAAATCTAAAATTAATACCATATGTTTTAGAAACCTATATAATTAACAATTTATACTGCATATTTTTAGAAACTCATAATAACGGACTTTTTTAGAAAATCATAATAGCGAATAATTTTAGAATCTTATAATACCGGATATTTTTAAAAACTCATTATTCCAGACATTTTTAGCAACTCATTATCTCGGCAATTTTTAGAATATCTAAATACAGGATATTTTTTAGAAATTCTTTATAGTGAATATTTTTAGAATCTTATAATACCGAATAGTTTTAAAAATTCTCAAAATACCGAATACTATTAGAAACTCATAATAGCGGACATTTTTCGAAACTCATAATACTGGATATTTTTAGAAACTTATAATATCGAATATTTTTAAAAACTCAAAATACTGGATACTTTTAGAAAATCATAATGCTGGACATTTTTAGAAACTCATAATAGTGAATATTTCAAAAACTCATAATACCGGACATTTTTAGAAACTCATAATAGCGAATATTTTGAGAACTAATAATACCGGATATTTTTTAGAAATTCATAATACCGGACATTTTTACAAACTCATAATACCGGACATTTTTACAAACTCATAATACCGGACATTTTTACAAACTCATGATAGCGAATATTTTTAAAAACTCATAATACCGGATATTTTTAAAATTTCAAAATACCGGATATTCTTAGAAACTCGGAATAACGAATATTATTAGAAACTCATAATACAAGATATTTTTTGATGAGAGAAGATTGATTCGTAACGTTCCTAAGTGTATTTGCGCATAGCTGAATGTTTTATTACTTAAACGTTATTTTTATTGGATACCCATATTTGAATAGACGTCCCGTTTATTTATTAAACTGTATATTTATTTATTTTCGTCTACCGCCCTGGATAATCTATAAATTTTATTAAAGCGAAATATGCGCTCTCCAGTGGGATCTGAACTTGCGCCCCCATTGACAGGAGAAAGCGTCTTTAGATTCGACTTGTTTAAGACCAACTCGGCCACGAAGAACGTCGTCAATCAAGCAAAGTTGAATAGTACCTTTTAAACGCAATTCTTTCTCAGACTCTAGAAACGTTCATATCTGTTCAGTTTCTTAACATACTGTAAAGAACATAATTTCTAAATTAATGGATTTGTGTTCCATTAATCCATTCTGAATATTCGAGAATTTTTGTTGATCAACGGCCCACTCGGTGGCGTGTTGGCCTAGGGGCACGTCGACTTTAACTACTCCAAAGAAGGCGCAGGTTCGAATCTTGTTGGATTATTTTATTTTTTTTTTTCTCTTTAATAAGATTTCTCGATTATTCAGTCCAGTAGAATTAAAATAAAAAAAATAAAAAAATACGCTGTTTAATAAATAAACGGAGCGTCTACTCAAATATGGGTAACCTCTAAAAATAACGTTTAGGTTATAAAATGAAAATATACCATATTTTTTTTATAATTGAATTTACAGCAACTGATTCGAATTTTTATTCGGCTTTCCAAGTTCCGATAACGAGCCATGACACCAACAACGAATTCGTTTAAAAAGTATCATAAAAAAAACAACAAAAAATTATAAAAAGAAACAAACCCCCACCCATCACCAAGCAAATTAAAAAAAATTATATTGATTATAAATTATTGGCTTCTGAACAAACTGGATTATATCATAAATATATGTATTTATTAATTATTATTTTATCGATTATTTTTGTTCTTTCAATGTTCATG